CATGTATACTCACTAACTGTTATCAGCCTGGAACAAGGTGCATTTCGACATATTAGTCCAGGCACCTCCCGTTGGCACTGCCAATCTACAAAGACTCCTCACCTCGCTGCGCAAGGCCGATAAGAGTGCCCTGTCGGTTCCCCAGCTAACAGTCGAGCTACCTCCAGTTGTAGAAAAGCCATTGGGAAACTTCTTGTCTGGTTTCCATTGGCCTTCCAAGGCTTCTGGACAGCTCCCTCAATCGCAAATGCTCTCTCTTCGCCATCGAATTTCGTCACGGAAAATGGATGAGGAGGAGAGTTCAGTTCGATTTTTAGAATCATTCTGGCCAAGCAAGCCGTCACACAATCATGTGCTTGTCCTGGCAGCTCACACTGAGGTCTCGCCTCAATTTTTCAACTGTACGTGATCTTCTATGCCTAAACAGGCAGCACTGACATAGCCAGATGTGAAATACACCCTTCTTCATAGCCTATACTCACAATCCTCCATTCTTCAGGACTGGAATGAGAACATCATGGGCATCAGTTTTCACTCGCCCAGCACTCTTCTTGATGATACAACACCCCTAACAGTCCCGCCAGCTGAAGAAGCGGACGAAACGAGCGGCTCAAGTCCCTTCTTTTGGCAGGCCCCAACTAGCGATGCTGTTCTGTTCATGGGAGACAAATGGGTTGAGCTGCATGGCTATGTGTCACGCATTCTAGAAAAGCAGCAAACAGGAACAGAAACGCCAGCCTTCTTAGCCAAGAAGAGTACGAGCAAGAAACATCCGGCCTGGTTAGAGTATGTACTTCAGCTATCACAGCTTCGGGGGTATGTGACTCTGTATCCGAGACCGGAAACAGCGAGCACTATCTTGGGAGCACACAGCGACCTTCCAAATACTCCAGAGGAGTACTTGGGCGAAGGGGATGAAAACGACAAGACCGGAGAGGCAGACAGTGCAACGTCAAAGTTCGACCCAGCATCCCCTGTCGATATGCTCACGACATTACCTCGTGAGGGTGACCTACTAGCATTAGGTGACTTGCCACTCATTTCGTGGAATGGCAAATCAACATCACTAGCAGAGCTTGAAACGACCTCAATGGAGCTTACAAAACAATTCCGTCAAGAGGTTGGCGGGTGTCCACCGACCGCCGTAAACGATGAGGACGAGTTTGGACAGCCAAGGCACAACAAAGACGCCAGTGATCTCTTTTGCAAGAACAAGGGCACGGCCAGTGCAGATACAGCGACTGAAGTCAAGGATCTCAAGGAAACAGCATAAGGAGCTGATTGCTATTCACAGCCGGAGCCAAGATATGGACGGCTTTCATTTTCACTATCTATTGTATGGGGTTTTGCATGGTTGGTACTGGAAGCTAAGGCGCTATTGAGTAACGAACATGTATTAATGCAATTTCAAGGATTCTTTCTGGGTACATATGTCAAGAATTGGATGATGATTGCTGTCGAACCTTGGCAATGACCAGCAGGATGAGACAGGTGCCTATGATTGAGACTGCTGTGAGACTGAAAATCTGTATGATGTCAGTACATAATCACCGCGTTTGTCATACATTGACAAACTTACTGCATGAGTCTTCCAGCCAATCTGTACAATAGCCGCCCGTTTGCTGTACTTGTTGACCGTTGCTACACAGAGCGTTAGTTCGGCGCATGTGCTACGTCGTAGTAGTAACACTCACTTATATAGTTACCCATCCCAGCAAGCAGAGTCAAGACCGAGAGTCCCCAGAATATCGTCCCGAGAGGCTTTGCCATTCTCAACTCTAACGGTGTGGCTTCGTTCTTTAAGTGGAACGAAAGTGTGATGGCTACCGAGACGATGGCCATGTATATCGATAACCGAAGGTATGAGAGGAACGCTATGTATAAGTATAAGACTATGGCATGAAAGAGACAGCGGAACAGGATGTGTACTCCTCTCATTGGCGCAGTGATCTCGCGCATCACTACTCTCATTCTCTACTATCAATGGTCCAAAGATTGGCCAGTGAAAGAAAGGTCTATCCTCCTCCTCGCTAAAGACACAGACTGTGAGCCAATCCATTCATATAGTTCTCCTGTGCAACTTTCACATACTCAAGCTCACTGAACTCAATGGGTCGAGCTAGGTTGGTAATAGGCGCGCAGCAGGCATGGATAGTGAGGTCTTCATCATCGATGTTCGCATCATGAGAAGCCATTTCGACGATATGACGAACAAAGTAACAATTCGATGAACAAATCAGTCAGACCGATGCTGATTGATGTATTCAAAGCCCACGATAAGAATGTGAGCATGTGAGGTTGGGTGTTAGTAGAGGAAGGTTGATGTGGTTGGTGGTTTCGGGGCTCGGCCGGATACTCAGTTCGTACCGATTACCGGGCTTCACTCTGGAAGCACTAATTACCCTATAGCGGAATCCGGAATTCTATCATATTAGCACTAATGGCGTGACCTTTGAAGTTCTATGTATTTGACTTTTCATTTCATCTCTATTCTACGATAGATGTTTTTGAGGTATCCTTGTTACCACTGGCTTGTCTATTTTGAGCCATATTGTAAGAGGCAACCAGCCTCACATCTCCTAGGACGTGTAGAATAACTCATAAGTATGGCATACATCACGTAAACCATTATCTTCCTTTAAAAACCCCATATTTCATGCCATCTATTCTCATCAGTTCTCAATGGCCCATCAAGTCGTCCAAATCTTGCTGCCCGTCCCGTGTTGGCCTCAGGAAGACACAGCCACTCTCTTACACAGTCTGGCACCTCTTCCTTGACATGAGCAATGCAGATCAACGCTTGCTGGTCAGAAAGACCTGGGATCTTGACTTGATCAGACTTGTAGACGTCACTCTCGATGATCTCTTCGCCTCGATATGTTTTGGCCTCACCTTGTTCAAGGAACAGCGTGCATTTGTCTCGTACTGCATCATCCATGCCGCTAAAAGCTTCATCAAGAACCACAACATCTGGGCTCTTGATCATTGATCTGACGAAGAGCGCAACACGTTGTGCGCTGAAAGACAGACCGCCAAACATGTAATCATCCGCCCAGGAGAGGTTCTCGTGCGATGCCGAAGAATAGCTTGGATGTAGTTCGGGAGCAAACCAGCGAAGGGCTGCCTCAACCTTCTCTTTGGCTTCACTGTCTAGCTTCGGCGTCGCTCGAAATGTTTCTGACCAAGCATTCTCAATCACTTGGCGCACAGTCAAGTTCCGAGGCATGTGCTGATGAACTTCAGGGCTCGAGTGTCCAATTCTGGACTGGATGTCCCAAAATGTAAGTGGCCGCTGGCCTGTACCAGGTTCTGGGAGACGAGATCGCCCGAATAGTTTGATGGGAAGAGAGTAAGACTGAGGATGATCCGAGCAGAGCAAAGATACTATGGTTGTTTTGCCTGAACCATTAGGACCAAAAACTCCCCAACGCTCACCACGTCGAACTGTCCATATCAAACCGTCTTTAGAACCGTCAGTGGTTTGCTGTGTCCAGTTACCAAGTGCAATTTTCCCACGATACTGAACTTTGCAGCCATTCATCTCAACGAGGGGCTCGGCTTTGGGATTTATCGGCTCAAGCTCCTTATATGATGCTTCCCCTAGATCACCAGAGGCTTCTGTAGAAGCACTTGATGGCAGTACACGACCGATATCAACAAGTGAATGCAGCGGTAGCCTCTCATCTTCTGTAAGTCCACCCTTTCGGACTCCACGGACGTACTTCTTGAGACCGTCAAGAACTTCCTCCTTAGGCCCCATGGATCCCACTTGGCAGTCTGTTCTTAGGTACACGAGGTGAGTGATCCAGTCAGGGACAGGATCCTGTGGTCGTGCACTAAGAACAAGACGCGGGCTTGCTTTCTCAGCCAGCGAGTGTAGTAATGGGCTTAAACCTGAGACTGTAGGCGGGTCCAACCCCATGAAAGGCTCATCAAGTAAGAGAACTTCAGGCTTGGTGAGAAGTGCACGAGCGATACGTGCCCTTCGACCTTGCCCGTTACTAAGAAAAGAGACCGGAAGATCTAGCAGGGGCTCAAGCTTCAGGTCCTTGACAACTCGAGAAAGAAGATCTGGCGAGATAGTAGCCTCATCCTGGCTGGGTTCCATCTGCATGGGATTGAGCTCTGTGTTGCCCATGAGGAAATCCCTTAGTGAGAAGTCCGTAATCTCCCGTCGCGACTCATATCGCGCAGAGAGATAGGCACTCGTTGCAACACCACCACCGAGCGCTCCTCCAATCTGCTCAGCATCGAAGCCCACATACTCGATTGCCTTTTGCGGCGTTCGTAACCGCTTGGGTACTTCCTCAGTAGAAAGGTAGGGATATGATCTCGCAATAGGTGGCTCGCAGAGAAACCTACCCCTCAGAGCCTGAAGAAACGTTGTTTTACCAGACAGAGATGGGCCTACAATACACCAATTTCGAGGTGAGTTCGATGCAGAAGCCAACTCAAAGCTTAAGTCACTAAAGAGAGGTGGGTTTGGACGTGATGATGCTGAATTTGGATGATGGCGATAGAATGTGCCATTGGCAATCCGAATGATCGGAGGACGAGTCGGAATTGACCTCATGGTTGCATCAGAGTGTCTCTGAATAGATAAAAACTCATTATCAATGTAAAGGAGAGATTGTTGTCTCAAGGCGAAGTCGGAATCTTTAAGTAAGTGACGATGTCTGCGTGGGTCTCATTGAGCAGAATGGAAGCTGGGGTCAGTGATACGTTAGTACCTTCTGCCGGACCTGCAGCTTGCTCCCCGGAGCCGGGACAAGGTACGTACCCTCAAAGTGCGGCAACGCCAGCGCAAGGCTGCCTTAAGCTGGAGCTTTCATCATCAACCGCACGTTGAGCCTCCCATCTATCAATCAATCCACCCGCCCATCAGCGCCGCATCATCTCCTCCGCGGAAACAGTCTAAGCTTTCACTAAAGCTTCAGCCTAACGACTCGTATTTCTTCCACCGCACTCACTTCTTCCAAGCAACAACCACATCCCTCAAAATGGTAAGCTCCAGCACCCATCCATCCTCACTATCACGAGAGCTAAATCTTCTGTCCAAAGTCTCAAGCAATGCGTATCGTCCCCGGCAACTCCAACGCCCAGACCTACACTCACATTTCGCACACATCCTCCGCCCCCTCCGCCCCGGGCATCCACGATACTCTCCGCCACGGTGTCGGCGCATCCCCCTTCGACTCCAAGTCCACGCCCGCCTCTGCTCATCCCCTCGAAGCCCGCCTCAAGAACTGGGAGGCTACTCAGGAGGCTCTCAAGATGGAGACGCTTCGACGCACCTATGGCATGGCTGAGCCTATTCGACGTGGCATGGAGCTCAAGATTGTTCAGAACGGCGAGTGGCGGCCCATGGCCCTCGGCAATGGCCTCCCCAGCGTTCACGAGGATATTCTTAGGGGCCGTGATGCTACGATTACCTGGGAGGACGTCTTCACTGGCGATGAGACAAGAGCCGTTGCTGGATTCCACGATGAGATGGAAAAGAAGCTCAAGATCCAGTAAACAAGCCGGCTGGCTGTCCCAAAGGAAACCATGGCACAACCATCTCCTTGTATACCATAATTACAACACTTTAGACAGGCTCAAGAAAGTTAACGACCAAGATGACCAACGTCTGTTCTTCTGCTGAGAAGATGGATGAGACCATGCAATCGCAACATAAATGCTTTCTATACTGCTATGAATGCGCTGTGATTGATAACGCGTCGACGAATATGCCGAAGAAAAAGAAGATTACAGAACCAAAACACAACCAAGCCCATAACTCAGAATACACAATGATACGCCAATGTAGACTCCGGTGTCCCCGTCTCCCACACAGCAGAAGCGTGACGCCTCTGCTGATAAATACAATAAACCAAAGAAAAAGCTATAAGGAGTGAATGAGTGTCAACCGAATGCTCATCAACTAAAGTGAAGACTACGGTGGCTAAAAAGACCCCGCCGACTCAGAACGTTGAGTGCATGAGGGTCTTTGGACTTGGCTCATCTCGTAAGAGCATGCGTTGAGCACAGTCAGTCTGGAAGTTGCCTGTAGTAAACAAAGTGGCCTTCACTTATAAAATGATGCAGCAATTGCTGTCCCGCGAACGTTGGCCATCACCACCGCTCGATGAAAGGTTCTTATTTCCCGCCTTAGGTTCTTCCTCATCAAGATCCTGTGGCCGAATGCTCATATGTACAACATTGGGGCTCTCGGTTGAAAGTTGATATTCTATAGGGCGGTTAGCAAATCATGGTCCTTGTCTCAGGTCGACGGCGAGCCTTACTTTTCAATTGCTCCTTATCATCTAGGAGCTTTCCAAAATGAATGAGTCTAATGCTGCTGGGACTTGCTGGTTTTGCTTCCCAATCACTGCGCCATTCGCGCAATATCAATTCTTTGAGGGTGTAAACGCTGATACTGAAGGGATCCGGAAGGCCACTCTCCGTCTGGTCTGGGATATCCACGCTCCTCCGACTCAAGTACTTAGCATCTATCTTGTACGGATGTCGGCTTCCTGAAGTAAGGAGAAGGGTAATGGTGCAAACGGGTCCGTCGGAGGAGCCCCCTGGAATTTCTCTGATGTCGTCTACAGCTGGTCCGATGCCCAGATTCGAGTCTTGCTTAGTAGGTGGTGGAGGAGGAGCAGCCGTATCCTTCTCCTTTCCCTTCGATGAGGCTGCAGCAGTGGCTGCTGAGTTATCGGTATTCTCGGATGTAGCTGGCGCGGCAGTAGACGGTGCTGGCTCAGTTATGACGGTCTTATCTTCGGATTCGGGGGCGTGATCGGCAGGCGCCTGCTCGGAGGATTGGGCAATGTTTTCCATGGCTACCGCATCGTTAGGCTGTTCGAGCCGTGAAGTTTCAACAGGCGTAGCCTTACCACCACTCATGGTGGAGTCCGCTGGAGCCGACATACTGGGTGAAGGGTGATGGCGGCGCGGTAAGGATGTGATCTGAGGTCACACCACGCAAGAAAGGGAAGAACGCGAGAGGAAGAGCGGCGTAAACGAGTGGTTTGTTCGCTAGCAGTGAGATTTGATGCGAATTTTGCGATTATTTGACGATGTCGAACCACAGATGCGTATGAAAATGAGGAATGCGAAAGTGGATGGAAATGGAGATGTGGATGAATGTAGTCGGTATCCGTAGCGTGGCCAGGTCTCGGGAGCAAAAGTGAAAGACGTCAAGTTCGCTGGGAAGATGGCTAAGGATGGATCGCCCAGGCCGGGGGCCGCAAGACCGGGGGTGGGGCAGTGAATGGCCCGGAGTCTCGTCCACCCAGATAAAACGCTCAGACAATAAAGCAGATGCAAATGCAACGCGACAACCAGGCAGGGCAGAGTTGAGGAACGCGGGTCTGCAGTACGTAGTAGCAGTGAATGGCTTCGTGGTGCAGCGCTGTGCCCCAAGGCAAGCTGATGGGGAGACAGTGAATGAACAAGCGAAGCAAAACAAAGCAGCCAAGGAGCCCTGGGCGGCCAGCGGCTGGAGCGTGGAGCCTGTGTGGAGTGAGAGACGGTGCAACAGAGTGGACTTCTCTTGTCTTTGGTGGTGTCGCTGTCGCTGGACGCTTTGCCTGACAGGGAACGGGGAACGGGGAACGAAGGGGCGCTTGGCTTGAGCTAGGTAGACGACTCCCTTGCAATTGTCGGAAACAATAAAGTGACAATGATGAGAGAGACGGGCAGGGCGACTCGGCAGTGAAAGCGGCCGCGCTGCTTTGTTGACAGTTGTTGTCGATCAGTTCAACCAAGTCGGATTCGAGGCACACAATTGATGGCAGAGATAACGAGGCCGTTGAGAATACCGGCAAAGTCGGTTACCGGATACACGATAAATCCTGAATGCGAGAAAGTAGCCTACTGTAAGAAAGCCAAGATACCTAAACAAGGTAAGTTCCAGCCCAGGCCGAGGTGACGACACCAAATACAGTGCTGTATCCGTGATCCGTGAACTACTTGGCGGGCAGATGTTGGCGCTCACTCAAAAAAAAAGTTCAGCGAACCGATTTGTGCCAGTCGGAGGTATTAGTTATTCAGTGATAAGAATGAATCAGACGGAATGAAGTCGTTATTTGTTTGATCGTTATTTGTTTGTGATGATGAACAAGACGATGGCAAGACTTGAAAACAAAGTCAACGGACGTGAGTTGCCAAACAAACCTACCAGACGCAACAAACAGCTACCTGTACCTTAGGTAGGGAGGTGAGGCAGTTGCCTTCAGTTCCGTTCGGTAGGTACCTAAGGTACTAAGGTAGGTTAGGTTTACTGGTAAAAGGGAAGGGAAGGTACCTGCCCTGGCTCTACCACCTTACACAACCTGGGCTGAGTCGGGTAGGTACATAAGCAGTAACAAAGTCAGTAAAACGCTACCTCAGCTAATGAATGCAGCCAGAACATGACGCTTCCCAGTAATAAGATTCCCCGGTATAAGTCATGTCCCTTCTAGAGCCTGAGAGTCCGTTTGTTGTAGTATTTCAAGTTTAATTCCTTCCATATGGCTGACAATCTGAACAATATGTCATGGTGTACTCCATAGGTATACACGGAGTTTATTCTCAGTGGGTGATAAGCAAAAACCACTGGTAGGTAACGTAGAAAAGGTGGCGGCTGTGGAAGCCGGCTGTGCCGCTTCCAGGCGACTTGGCCCAGACCAAGCAGAAAAGAAGACCCCAGTGGCGCAAGCCATCTGTTTGGGACACTGTATGTCGACTACCTTAACTAAGAGAAAGCTACCTGTTGAATATGGGGAACTACTGATGACTAGGACAAACATGATGAACAACTTTGGTCCAATCTCTATGGGGTGAATTATCTACGATATCATTTTCAGCGGCTCTCAGATGGATTGCTCTTTTGGCTCTCCTGCTTAGGTAGGACTATTAGGCTGTATTCATGAATCAGCGAGCCACTTACACGAAACGTATCGTATTCTACCTACCAACCAATCCAACATAGTAGGTAAGCTATAGCCAATAGTCGCGTATTCAGCACATCTAAGGGTCCTCAACTGGCTTGCACCCCTCAAGATCTCATCACTGGTACGCCTCGGAGCTTGTTCCTGAATCCCCAAAGTTCCACCGAGAAAAAGGCACAAGGAACACCCTCTCCCAACGGTCTAGTACGGCCGCTCACACACCGATACATCGGATATATCCCGCACAAGACCACGGATTCGCCCACTTGCATACATTCAGAAGGTCCTTACAACTCATCAACGACATGTCTCTCCCCACTGTCTTTATAGACCAGACCGGACCAGACCAACAAGCCAAGTCCCAATCTAGCGTACTCCAGACTTCGCCTCAACCCCCCTGGTCAAGTGTGACCTCTGGGGGAGGTTTTGGGATACAATGGTAGGCTCTGCTGATGTGCTTCGCCCCAATTGACATTTGGAATAAGGTTAACGGGCCAAGCCGAATCGAGTCTACGCCGTTCCCCGGAGCAGTCACCCGCAGATTCCTCCCTTCAAATCGAGAATGTGAGAAAGATGGGGTAACGGAGAAATTTGTAGATAGCCTCAGTGCCAAGAGCTAAGATTCTTCGAATGAGCGTAACAAAAAGGATGCTCAAAGTCTCATGAAGCAGAAGAGAAAAAAAAAAGACATTCAACATAACTTGTAAATATGAGAGTGTCTAATAATTTCATCCAAGTATGAAGCAACCTTTGGGCGGATCCTGGAGCTGGACGCACCGGCAGATTGTACTCCCACAAGTTCCATCACAAATTCCTGCCTAATACGGATATCCTTAAACGGCTTGGCTTCTGACTATGCCTCTCATCGCTAGTATACAAAGGTATCACTCACTCATAGCACTAACAAATCACCATTGCTGCCAGCACCCTGAGCTGGTTGAAGAACCGCTTGAGGTGCATGTGCGCTCACCACGTATCCCGTCGAGTGGCCATTACCTCCTCCAAAGACATCATCCCCTTGGTCATGCATCGGCTGCATCTGCTGCTGTGTTCCGATACTTGAAAAGTAGGCATCTGCGTCGTTGACTGCTTGCGCGAGGTCCCCTTGGCCATTGCCTGATGTTGGGTTTCGGCTTCTTGGATCAATATCAGTTGCCGCTCCGGCGTTGCCAAACATGCTTATGCTCTTTTGGCTATCTGCAGCAACAAGAAGGTTTTGCTTCTGCAATGCGGGAGAGTCCTGGAGTTTGCGAGGTCGAGCAGATCTAAACACGGTCTGCACTGGTTTCAAATAGACCGTGGCTAGAGTTCCCACGTTCAGACACATCTCCTCTAGCGTTGTCGAATCCAGTCTTTCTGACTCAGCGGTAATGGCTGGCTTCTCCCCCATCACGATCTGCTTCGCCGCATTCATATCTGTAGACAACAAGCGCCAGTACATATACGCACGGTCTCGAAGATCAGGGTTATCCGTCTCTTCAGTTGCCCACTTCAAAACCTTGGGGACCAATTCTTGACCCTTGGTTGGCCGCTGGATGAATAGCTTTACTGTAGCTGTGAGCAAGGCCAACTGCACTTCGACAGGCTCCTCTGCGAACG